AAAAGATAATCGACAACCCGCAAACAATTACTCCAGCTGCTATTACCATTACCCAGAATTTAATACCGATTTATAATTATATCTAAAAAAATGATAATACAAACCTCATAAGGTTAACCGTAGCGCTCTGAGAAAGTCTCTGATTGACAGTTGAAGACATATCTGTACCATAATTAGAAACAACAAGCGCAAGATTATTGGTGTTAGCAGATGAAGCCATTATATCTTCCTCTTCCTCCATGATGGTAGGGGAAATAGACACTCTACGCATGTAAGTTGGTGTGTGCGGAGGAGACGGCGATGGTGGTGAGGAACTAGTAGATGACATTGAAGTACCAGGAGATTCAGGTGGCGAAAGAGCAGGTGTTCGTGGTTCAGCCTTAATGTTTGGTGGATTACTAACTGAACTATTTCTACGACTTCTAGCAACAGGACGTTGTTGGCAAAGTTGTTTAACGCTGAAATAATCAGTCTCCAAATCAAGAGTGCTCGGGGTTTGTGTAAGCATCGGTGCAAAATTCGGGGTAATGGTAATAGCAGCTGGAGTAATTGTTTGCGGGTTGTCGATTATCTTTTCAGATGTAAAAACGGAACCGTGCTGAGGCGATGACATATTATCATAACTATGTGATCGTGGGATTGTAGAAGCGCTTTCAAGCAATTGATCGGTTGGTAATTCAGGATTTAGGTTGAAAGTAAAACTATCAGAAATCGTCGGATTGGTAACGCCGTCAAGGAAGCCTGGTTCAAAAAAAACTGGTGTAGGAGGCATAGTGACAGCGGGAGACGGAGAACTCGCAAGAGAATCAAACCCAAATTCTGCCGACATGTCACCAAGGCGATACATGTCCGACGGATTTGTTGTAATATTCAAAGGCATTAAATGGGGTTTACGATTATTTTTAGCATTAGTAGTACTTATTGAATCAACTACTATTGGTGTGTACGTCTTATTATCACGACCACAGGAGATCATTGCTGCTGCTGCGGCTAGTTCATCCAAAGGTTGATGAAGATTCTCATATGACAAATCATTAACAGAGTTCTTTCTTGATTCAATGTGACTTTCCGTTGCATTAATATCATTGGCCTGATTACGGTGACATAATGAATCACCACACACATCAGGACTAGATATTGGTGAGTTACCAACAGAAGCAGCAATGGACGCGTTTGTAATATCACCATATCCATAGTTGTTGGAAAATTCCGATGTTGTATTAACTGGAATCGAGGTTTCAACTGCGTCATAAAAATTCTCCAATCCAAAATTGTTGTCAGAAGTTGATAATGCCATATTTCCAGGTAAATTGTCAGAAATAAGATAATCCATGTTATAAGCTCCATTTTGAGATCCACTATTATGTTGTGTGTCGGAACGTGGAGAATTTGTTGGTGTCGAAGGATTTGAACGAACATATTCATTCCAAGTAGCCGGATTCAACATAGAAGCGCTAGGGGTAAATTGTTGGTATGCTACATTTAGTTGCTGTGATTGTTGTGAATATATCAATTGTGATTTTTGCTGATTGGTGGGTAAATAACATTCTTGAACTGCGGTTATTGGATACTGAAAATCTTGCTTTCTTTTCTTGGAGAAATTATCGTTACCATTGTATGAAGACTTTGACATATTTTCGAGATGATGAACCGAAGAAATAGCGTGGTGAGAATGAGCCACAGGGTAAGAATTATAGAATTCTGTAGAGAATGGTGAATGTACCATAGCTTATTAAACCAACATCAATGAATACGACAATAAAGGGATAAGAAAAAGAACCGGTAAGAGAACGTTGAATTTAATAATAATATAACAATCTCAACCAAAACAGAATAAAAGAATCCAAAAATACATTGCGTCATTTTATCTATTAACTATCGATAAATAAATCAATCTCATACTCAACATATTTTTGGAAGAATAAATCTAAAAGTATGTGAATTACTCACTTTTTGAAGAAGAGAGATTTAAAACTTTCTTGTAAAGCTTTCGGTTCCGTATGGGTGCGCGTTATAAAGTGTCCTTAGACGTCAAAAACGAGTCGAGAAGTTTTGAAAAATGAAGGATAAAGTTTTTTGGGCCGTTAAAAAGGTACTTTTACCTACAAAGTAAACGATTATGAACTTTGAAGGATAATGGGGAGTGATATATACAAAAGATAAAAGGTTCCTCGGTAAATATATAAACGATTATATTTTTACCAGAAAACCGAGTGGAAGATAAATTTTACAAGAACTTTTGTTGGTAGGCCTTTAACCCGAGAAAGAGGTGTGTATATATATATATATATACATATATGTACCAATATAAAGGAAATTTTTTATTTTACCAAAGCTATTGTAAACAAATAAAAAAATATTTTAGGGTGTATAAAATCAGTCAATCAAAATTAGGGTAAAAGGATCCGAATATAAAATTTGTTATTGTAGTGACTTTTTGGAGTTTTTTATTGTACGTATAAAATAGTGATAAAGTTTATGTCGCAAATAAGCAAATAAGGTTATTAATTCTACGTAAAAATTATATCATTTCAAAAAAAAATTATGCTAGCGTTAGAAGTTGGTCCAAGTGATTCAATTCGTTACACGAATAATTTATACGGATAACTATAATTAAAAAATAGACCTTGCGCATAAAATCACTGTAGATTAGAAAAGTATAGAGAATATGCAAGATGTAAAAAGATTCCGTTTTATGGTGTCTTCAATTATTAATGTTTTACACTATATTCAGAAAAATATAGTATTTTGGCTTGGGTATCAATACAACAGTATTTAAGTACGTGATTAAAGTTTTAGATCATAACCAAAAAGTTAGGTATATGTTTAATTATATATATACTGTATATACCAATTAATTATTATATATATAGAATAAGTAATAAATTTTTTGTTGAAATTTGGGTGTTGCTGACAGTATTTAAAATTGGCACAAGATGCACATGTTCAAGAGCTTTTTTTAATGTGCAAATAAAATTAAAAAAAAAAAAATTTGCTCAAAATTTATTCGCATATATAAAAATAATATTTGCGCAAGTAAAAAAATTTTTTACTTGCAATTGTGAAAAAAAATTGCTATTTTATGGGGTTATCTAAAGCGGAGTATAATCACGTGATATGAAACAATCAAATTATGGAATTTTGCTGATCGCGAAGCAATACAAGAAATAAAAACGAAAAACTTGAAAAATACAAAAAACGGCAATCTAAACCTACCTCGGTTGGGTTAATTAAAATGTCGGGAAGGCAAGTTTGCTTATATACAACTACCTAAAACCTAACCTGACTCTAATATAAGATGACCCTAACCCTAAAGTTAATTCAATAAAATATATATTATAAGAATCTCATATAGAGCGAATTGAAAAACTTTAATAACTTAAGAATTTAAAAATTATTTTGATTTTTTAAAAAATTTTTAGTATTAATAGACAATCTATTTGTCATCTGGAGAGGATCTGCAAATTTTATAAGTAAATTTTACTATTGAGTTAAATGTGAAAATATTACATCTAAAATTTTTTTTCTTACTAAGTAAATCACTCTTAAGCTTATAATAAAAGTTGTAGAGCTTATTAAGATGCATTTAATGGTATTAAGAACATTAAAATTGGTCTGGTGGTTCTTTAAAAATCTTTAAAAAACATTTTACTGATATATAAAATTTCTTTAGAAATTTTATATGTCAACGAAATGTTTTTTGAAGATTTTTTAAGAATCACCAGGCTGATTTTAATATTATTACTACTATTAGATGTGTTTTTATGAGCTCTACAGCTTTATTATAAGCTCAAGAGTGATTTATATAATACAGTCAGGGTATATTCCAAATTAGAGATCATTTGAGATTGAAGATCTAGAATGATCTACACAAAATTCAGCGAAATTTGATTGGTCCTATCACGTTTTTTTTACATCATTTTCTCTCAAAAGTTTTACAAGATTTTTATTTACACTTTTTACCAAATGATATTTGAAATGATAATGTAAAACCTCTACTTTCGATCATTCCAATTAATTCCTGATTATAACTTGAGTTAAAAAAAAGTAAGTAAGACCTTAAGATTAAAATTTTTAATACAAAATTTGCTAGTTGAAACAAGCGAACTTGTAAGCTTTGTCATTACTATTGAGGTATTGTTTGTAGAATTACTGTTTATTGGTGTATTTTTTTTTGGTTTATTAAACTTTTTTCATTAGAACTAAAGTTTTTTTCTCTTTTGTACTGTAGATTTCTTAAATATAGCACAGTAGTTAGATTTTTAAACATAGCATGATAGAGTTAAATTTTTTTAGACATAGCACAATAGAGTTAAATTCAGGACTTATAGTATGGTAAAGTTAGCTTCAAGACAGATAAAGCATAGTAGAGTTAGATTTTTAGACATAGGACAGTAGTTATATTTTTGTACATAGTATGGTAAAGTTGGATTTTTTGAATATAGCATGATAAAGTTAGATTTTTTGAATATAGCACTGTAGATTTAGATTTTTTAGACATGGCATGATAGAATTAGATTTTTGGATATAGTATAATAGAGTTGGATTTTTGGATATAGCATAGTAGAGTTAGATTTTTTTGACATAGTATGATAGAGTTGGATTTAGAACAAATAGCACAGTAGAGTTAGATTTTTGAACGTAGTATGATAGAGTTAGATTTTTTAGATGTAATATAGTAAAGTTAGATTTGAGACAAGTGGCATAGTAAAGTTGAATTTAGGATAGGTAGCACAGTAGAGTTAGATTCAAGACAGGTAATTGGATTTAGAACAAGTAATATAGTAGTAGATTAGTAGTATAGTAATTAGATTCCAAATTAATATCATTATGTCATAAGAACCAAATAATTGTATATAGATCATTTTAGTCATAAGGTTACTATAGTATAATATTTAGATTAGTAGTATAGTAGTTAGATTTAGGATTTATAATATAATAATTTAGTTTGGGATTATTAATTAATGATTCTCCAGTCAACTGAAGAATGATTATCCCTTAAACCGTCCAGCGGCCAAATATGCCCGCTAGAATATATTTTTTTATATTTTTTTGTAATTGCTTAAA